GAACTACGATTGATAATCATCTGTCTTTCGAACATTTCTGAAGATAGAACAGCTGACAGAGTTGAAATAAGGAAACATGTAATAAAGTTAATCATTGTGTTTCTCCTTGAATAAATGAATGGATAAAAGACGAAAATACATTCGTGCCTCCTGACTACATCAAGTATGACCTGAGAAAGGAAGGAATGAAATGCCAAGATGAGCCAAAAGTCTTCTATGTAGCATAAGAACCTCAAAGATGTTTACAGTTCCAAGTGGTCCTTTTGTTGGACGGGTTCTGGTCACCTTTCCCAAATCAGCTCATTAGACTTTATTGCAACTCCTGCACTGTTCTTACCTATTGTGATCAGTGTTTTTCCATGGACTTCCAGATAGGTGATAATTATCTTTTAGGAATCGAGACAGTGCAGGTTACTCATGTTCACAAGCTGAAGATTTTGTCCGAGCCTAGCCGCATTTTTTTTGAAAGACTTCGTTACACATTTTTCTCTTTCAGAGAAAAATGTTTTCCGTCTGAACCATACCACAGATACAGCAATAATGAGGTGCAAAAAAAGAAGTCATTCTGAAACACACCCCATTGAAAATTAAACTGTTTTTGCATCATGGCAAGATATTGTGGTGAAGTGAGTTCTCTTGAATAGTATCAGCAATTTGAAGCATCTGATTATTTTGTAGAACTGTAGTGTATCGTCTTCGAACCGCCCGGCTACCGACCGGACGGTTCGACGTGGGTGCTTTGTTCACTCAGTCAATTGGCCGATGTTGAATCGATGGTTCAAGCCCCAGGCTGTACGCTCGATTTTCACTCGCTGTCGCCCAACCCGTGTTAGGAATCACACATTAAAGAAAAGAAAATTGTCACATGTTAACAATGAAACAAAAGGTCACAATGATATATTAATCATAATGATGGAAAAATAGTTTTTAAAGGTAGTGAAAAACAGGAGAAATATATAACAACATATTTGTTGCTATAGGTGGCTTGAACTATGTACTTGACCAGATGTCAAATACATAGTTTCTCTCTCATCAAAGCTGACTACTGATTGCAGAATTCTACTGCGCCATTTATTGCATATTTATTCCTATAACTCGTTTGTTCATACTGAATCCGTGATGTATTTACAATTTCACAGTCGTTTTATAATTATTCACTAGTTTCATCACTCCAATATGTCAACCATAGATTTAACGATTTCAATTTCCACCCATTGTAGTATTATTATCCGCAGCTGTCATCTAAAAGTCAAATCAAGATAAAAATTCAGTATTTCATTCACAGATGTGCTGAGTACAACAAATTAAGTGTTTCACAATATCAACTTGCCACTTCAATTTTCAATATTGTTTACATTCGTCTCTTAGAAATTAGGGCTTTGTTCACGAGATAGAGCTGTTACTAGTCAACAATCTTTCTATTAGGCGTAGGTTTCATGCATGCAGTCGAGTCGCGTTGAAATAAATCGAGTCCCGGACACTTTTCTGTTTGGGTCGGATCTTTCCTGCACTAATGAGAGGTAATACCTTGAAGCCGGTCTGTGGGTCTGTATTCAGCGTGATATTAGCCAGGAAAGTAGCTGTTTTCCGACTGGAATTTACCAGAACCTAGGATGTAGCTATTTGGGAGAGATGAAGATTTCATTTCGATTTTTTTTTTTTTTTCGGGTAAGAATGTATCTTTCATCGATGCAGTCATGATTTGGGAATAGATTGATATTAAGTGAAACATTTTGTTTACATTATGGTCCATGAATAAAGGTATGGACAATATACGCCCCACCCAGAGATTCCGATTTTTGCACCATCTATCAACATGGGTAGAAAGTTGGGTTAATTCCTCGCGTCAAGATTTTATTGGCAAAACAAAAGCGAATCGGTTCATACACCAGGGTTTCTTCAGTCAAAAATAATCACTCGAATAAACTGTTCTACTGAATACTTAAAAGAAAATGTAGTCAGAGAATGAAAAATGTTTTCAACTCCGCCAGAAGTTAATGAAGCTGCTGAAATTACACAATTTGAAGTTATTGCCAGAATGANATCAGATACTTTTTTCCAAATACCTTGGTGAGTGGAGAATATTGATTATCACAAAAATAATTACGGCGGTGTAGTTATTTTTTGAATCATGACTTTCAGACTTTCTAAGAATGGTCCGCCACACGACAAACCAATTCGGAATCGGCTGCTCTTCCTTCCGCCATGAATTTGAAACTCTAGCTAGATGTTGGTGTAAACTTGGTAGATTTTTCCACCAAGTGTTCAGGACTTCCGGGTTTGGAGGGCTCTTCGAACGTCACTCGTGGTTATCAGGTTGCATAGTTAATTGAGCTCGGGGTGTCACAGCTCTCTACTTAAAATGTCGAGCTACACCAGTGCTGAAGTTTCAAGGCTGAGTGGCAGCATATGTTCATAAATAAACCAGGAGAAGGATTCCAACTGATCAGCGTTCGGCGGATAATCCACGAAACACAAAGGATCTTTCCGCTCACCTAACTAGTAATTTTTAGCAGCCACTAACTAGCATCTGTATACGATCTAGTCAGCACTGCTCAGTCGTCAGCAGTACACCTTGATTCAGAGAGTGATCTACATATCGTAATTTAGCAGCTATTACCATATGACAGGTGTAAAAGGCCTTTTGGCCGTCATATAGTACAAATTGCCTCGCCATCTCCATATCAGCCGCCATCTTGTGTACCCATCGCTCAGTCTTTGTGCGATGGACCCTGCTGGTTATATTAACCCCCTACAGAGGAGATGGGTGTTGAGCTTACGACTCCAAATGACCTTCCTGTAAATTCAGATCAGAAGCGAGAGCTTCCCAACTCTCCAACTCCTGATCCAATAAATGAACCAAAAAAAAAGTTTGGTGGTGCAGCCAAGAAACGACTGAGTCGTCTTCTCAAGAACTGGGTACCTTATGAAACAGCATTGCGCCAAATTTTTGAGCGGCGTACGCAGAATCTGTCTCAAGTGGAGGAACAAACCCCCCCATGAGCAGGTTAGTAAACGTTTGCGCTCAAGTGCTGATTCACCAAAACCAGAGGCGAAAAAACCCTGCACGGTTGAATCTAAGGCATCTTCAGGTGTAGCTGATGTGCAAAAACCCTCATATGGGAAGGTTGCCGCGGGTAGCAAGATGGAAATCTTGCACCTTGACTATTCGACTTCCTCATCAATGATGAAACAGCAGAATCAGGTTCCTAGAGTTCGGCAGAGCCGTACTCTTACCATATGACCTGAAAGACCACTCACCATACAAACCAATCGGCTTCGTTAAGAAGCTGGGTTTATTTGGTCGAGTGTAAATAGGTGTAAGCCACAATAAACCCATGCGGGTTGCGGTGGAGTATCGAATAAACCCACTCACTTCGGACCTAACCTAACCTAACACAACGCTCAATCTTTCGAACTACAAGGTCAATGTTTCATTCTCCATCAGTGTTGATTTGTAAGGTATCAGCCTATTTTGTAGAAATGTTATAAATCTCCGCATCCAAACGAGCTAGTTATTGTAGCTACAGTGGAGTTTTCTACGTATTCTGATGCCACTTCAATCACCTCGACTTAAAACTGTAAATTTCAAAACTGAAGTCGAAATTTCGAGTTTTAGAAACGTTGTATGGCTTAATACCAACTGGTAACAAACAATTTGGATTTCAGTCAAACAAAAATATTCATGATGCCATATTTCCATTTTTATTTGATGTCTTTAGTAATATTAATAGACGAAAGATGACAGCAGTAGTCTTTTGCGATTTCTTTAAAGCATTTCACTGTGTTAATCATGAGATTCTCCTCGAATCTTATCTGTCGGGTCGAGTCAAACGGTTAAATATACAACAGTATCTGATGTTTCTGACATATCTAAAGGAGTACCACAAGGCTCAGTACTCGGACCTATCATATTTCTGCTCTATATCAACGACTTGACTACCATCGATACAGGGGGTAAATTTACTTTCTTTGTTGACGACACTATAATATTATGGCACAAAACCAACACTAATGATCTACATAATGCCATCTGCTCTCAAAAACGAAAATATTATCATTTAATTGCATTCTTGATAATTTTCCTTTAGCTTTGAATTCGAACGTGATTGAGAACACGCCATGCAACAAATTTCTCGACAGGCGTGGTTATGGTATGAGTGTTTTGGAATGCGCATGGTATAATATTCAGCGACTATCTTGACAAAGAAAAGCCATCAACAGCGACTATTACATAGCGTTATAGGGCTTATCGAAGGACTGAATCGTGGATAAACAACCCCATTTGAAGAAAAATAAAATGCTGTTTCATCAAGATAATGCACCGTGTCACAAATCTATGAAAACGATGGCAAAATGTATGAATTGCTTCCACATCCAATGTATTCTCTTGATCTGGCCCCCAGCGACTTTTCTCTGTTCTCAGACCTCAAGAGAGTGCTCAATGGAAAGCTGATAAAGAAGTAATCGTCATAACTGCAGCTTATTTTTGAGTCTATAAAATGGTATTGAGACCACTTAATCGTTGTAGTGCACTTGAAGACAACTGTATTGAGTAATAAAATCAAATTTTATCAAAAATTTTTTTTTTCAATGTTAGCCTACGACCTTTCCAGCCCAATTCTTATATACTAGCACAATAATCTATTCTTCAAGAGAACATTTCTGATGAAATTCGAATATGTGGAGCAAATTATCTCAGTCCTTTTTTAACACGCTTTTAACACGCTTCTATTAGCTTCACCTGTAAGTATATATGTTTGTTTGTTTGTAACTCTCAAGCTCAGGATCTGAATTTGACAGAATTATCGACATTATCACTTGATTCATTCGCGGGCAGATGGCGCTGTACGGAACCGCCTTGATATATCGACATTATTACTTGATCTATTTGCGGGCAGATGGCGCTGTTAACCTTCTTGATATCATTGAAAAATAGCCTTTTTATTCAAATTTCGTCAGGTGGTTCTTCTTGATTTCTGAAATTATTGAAAGAGGAATAGTTTGATTCCATTTTTATTTGAAAAAATAATTTATTATTCGTGAAAATTGTAATGAACAATTGGCAATTATGTTTGGGACTTGGATGTTCAATCAATATTGCACTTCATACAATACAACTATATAAAAAAAGTGTAATACTGGTCCTATCAATACGATCACGGTTAATTTCATGAACTAAATATCAAGTCTAAAAACTAGGAACTCAAGAAGAGTTCGACCAATTTACTCCTTTGAATCTTCGAACTGGGAGTCCTTGGTAAGTTTTCCACCACTTTTATGCCACCTCTCAGCCTCTGCCATTCTGAAACATTGTTCGATACGAAACTTTGAATTTCATCGAGATCAACCGAGGCAGTATCCTTGAGCACTACACATGCTGCGGGGTGGTATTCATCCACCTCATGTGGTAGTCCAAAAACGCCAGACTCCAACACTGCTGGATGTTCCATTAGAATCGATTCTACAAAAGATGGCACCACATGCCACGATTTATATTTGAACATTTCCTTGATTCTCTCCACAATATAGAAGCAACCATTGTCATCATAGTAGCCTAAGTCGCCAGATTTAATGAACCCTTCATCGTCGAAGTAAGGAGATGAGTCCATGTTGTAGTAGCCAGTCATTCCATACAAACTTTTTATACAAATTTCTCCTTTTTGATTAGGTCCCAACAATTTGCCAGTAGCTGGATCAATTATCTGAAAAATATTTGAAAGTTAACAACATTCTACAATATTCGAAAAAAATAGAGAGGAGTTTGTCATCACGATATAAAAATGTAAAAGATATCAGACAGAATGTTAGAAATAGAAGCATAACTTGCTCCATTTGACATGATGTGCCCAAATCTCAGAATGTTCCGAAAAACGCAGTGCTCATATATCTGTTTCTAAGCGATCTGCAGAGCGGTTAGGAAGATTGTCTCAGAAATACACGGTCTGACCTAGAGATGGCGGTAGTTGTTCCTTCGTTCACAACAGTAAAATATTGGGTAGCAGAGTTTCAACGAGGCCGTACGAGCTGCCAAGACTAGTATCGTATTGGTCGATCAAATGAGGTGACGGCTCCAGAAACTGCAAAGAAAATTCACAAAGAGCTACTGAACGATCTTTGACAAAAACAGTGTGATGAAGACGTTTCAGTTGAGTGTTCAGCATAGTTTCACAGCAATAAAGTAGAATATTTGCGTCTGGATGAAACATGGATCCATCACTTTTCACCCAAGACAAAAGAACAGTCAAAACAGTGGCCTCAAGAGGGATAACCGGCTCCGAAGGAAGCAAAGACCGGTTCATCTGCAGGAATGGTCATGGCATCACCTTTTTGGGATACTTTTCGTTGACTATCCTCAAAACGGTAAAACTATCACCGGCGAATATTGTACGAACTCATTGCAACATTTAAGTGAAGAAATCAATCGAGCAAAAACGACCACATTTGGCTAAGGAAAAAGTGTTGTTTCATCAAGTCACTGCACCAGTTCACAAACGCATTAACGCAATGATCAAAATTAACGAATTGAAGTTTGTTCTGTTCACAAACTTGAGAAAATCGCTCATTGTTCAAAGATTTTTCATCGATAAAGAACTGATGTCGGCAATTAATGGTTATTTTTAGGAGCAAGACAGTTCTTATTATNCAAGGAGATTGTTTCTTAAAATTTTTGTGTGTTCTTTGTTGGGCCGAATATTTCTGGTACCACCCCCGTATTATCAACAAATTGTCTCGTGAGTATTTGTGGAGCAAGTCAGATCGAGGATTCGAATTTGAAATAATGATGACATATTTATTGAAAAGTTTCGTTTCTTGTTTTATTTTAATTCATTCAAATAACACTCTACTCCCCGTCATCAGTAGGTGGATTATCTAACGCCACTTTCCCTCAATGGTGAGGTCATTCCATTTGGAATGGAGGTGAAATATCTTGGCATTGTTCTTGATAAAAAAACTCACCTGGAACGCTCACTTGGAAAAAGTTTTACACAAAGCCAGACTGTCCCTATGGACATGTCGGAGGATTTGTGATAAAACTTGGGGTTTAGGTCCCAAACAAATCCAACAAATCCATTGGATTCATGTGATGATTGCCAGAACAATGATCAATTATGGTGCAATTGCCTGGTGGCCGAAGACTTTACAGAAAACGACCCAGGCGAAGCTCTCTGGCTTACAGAGACAGGCTTGTCTGGCTATCAGTGGTGCCGTCAGTACCACACCGTCAGCGGCTTTGGAGGGCTTTCTAGATCTACCTCCTCTCTACATTTTTCTACCTCTGACTTTATGCCTCCAACTGTCAACTACGAACTTGCTTATAAAGTACTGTTCCCGAGTAGAGAGGACTGGATCCTCCGGGAGAAGGAAATATTAAAAGCAGATAGGTGTTAGCTCACAGACCTATGCGACTGTATTTCAAGCGGAAATTTACGCTATTGAATTGTGTGCGGAGAAATTGGAAGAATCCAACCTCATACACAAATCAATAAAAATATTCTCGTACAGTCAAGCGGCGTTGGAAGCTCTTGGCTCCTACCCAGCAACGTCTAAATTGGTAACAAATTGCCAAAACGACTCTCCTCGATAGGAACACTCAACAGATTGTCTCTGGTCTAGATTCCTGGCCGTACTGGCCTAAAGGCAATGAGGGTGCTGCAAGCAACTTCATCGGACAAGAACCTGTCATTTGCCAAACAAAGATTGAACATCTGGATGGCAAAAAGATGTATAGACTTCTGGCAGGATCTTCCAGGATTGGCTATCTCCAAGGCGTTTATTCACGCTTCGAAGCTTGATACCAAACAGTTGTTGGACTACAGTAGGGATGAACTACGATATCTAACAGGACTTCTTACAGGTCACTGTCATTCGAATCATCATATGCACAGACTTGGAGTGTCACAAGACGGTGTGTGCCGCCTCTGTTTGGAAAATGATGAAACATCATAGCACATAGTTTGTGCCTGCCCCTCTGGGGACCGAATCAGGTTTTCAGAGTTCGGCAGAGCCGTACTCTTTCCATCTAACCTGAAAGATCACTCACCATACAAACTAATCGGCTTCGTCAAGAAGCTGGGTTCATTAGGTCGAGTGCGAATAGGTGTTAGCCACAATAAACCCTTACGGGTTGCGGTGAAGGGTCGAATACACCAGACGATTTTCATTGAAGTTTCGTCCAATTCCATCGCTATTTCAATTTCTTCGACTATACAAACTTTCATGAATTGAAATTCACTTAAATCTACACAGTAATTTTTTCATCTTACCTTTATGTTGACAAGTGTATGGAATAGGAAACGTGTTCTTCTATATTATGATAATTTATCACAAAGTACGTTCTAATTTTCAGAACAATTCACAGTCAACAACCTTATCAATGATGATAAGATATATCCTGTTAGAAAAATTTTCATTCATAATTGAAGGAAATGACGTTTTTAGTGTATGAAGACTGCCAATTAAATAACTGTTATGTGATATCTGAAGAAAACCGCGTTTTCATTCTAAATATTGAAATAACTATTGCTGTTGTTTTAATTGGCCTGATTATCTGATAGAAAAGTGATAAGAAGTTTGTGCGAATAAATTCTCTTTCAAAATATGAAAAATTCACTTTCAAGAGATTGTTTTTAAATGTTCAAGGTTTTGAGAAAACAAACAGAACTTACCAACGTTTCCAGTAATTTGTTTGCATTGTTTTAACCGAATATTATTGAAACGCAGTAAAATTTCTGATTAAATTCAGTAATTAGTGAAACCCATAAATCTCCGACATAAAATAACTATTGAGTAACAAAATTTGAAACACTGAAGATCATGAAAACATTGTTTTTATGTATTTTGCGATTCTTACTGATAAAACAGTATATGAAATCATTTTGAAAACAATTCTTGAAATATATTTTAGTTGGTACATACTGATATTGAGGGATCATTTATATTTATAGTTCCAAGTAGAGTTATATACTTGTTTGAACTATGTAAAAGTATCGAAAATAAAATTCGATAAGGCATATTTCACTATTAATGCAAGGAGAACCAAATAACTTTTCAAATGGAAAAAGTATCAGATTGTATGTAAAAGTATCAGTTGAAAGACACGCCAGATGAAGCCATTGTATGGCGAAACACGTGTTGCGTTTTTGTAAAACAATTTAGTGAAAATCTCACAATAAAGTGTTTTTGGAATACGTTATCAGATTTTCATTACCAAACAGTTGTGTATAAAACAATGAAGAAAACGTGAAAGATTTTTCTGAAATACTACTTCATTCTTTATATTTTTCACTTATTCTCAATTTTTCTTGTGTTATTTTTTTTTGAAAAATTTTTGAAATATATTTGAGTTGGTACATACTGATATTGAAGGATCATTTACATTTATAGTTTCAAGTAGAGTTAAATACTTGTTTGAACTATGTAAAAGTATCGAAAATAGAATCGTAAATACATTCATGAAAAAATAATTCGATAAGGCATATTTCCCTATTAATGCAGGAAGAACCAAATAACTTTTCAAATGAAAAAAGTATCAGATTTTCATTTCCTGACATTTGTGTATAAAACAATGAAGAAAACGTGAAAGATTTTTCTGAAACACTACTTCATTCTTTATATTTTTCACTTATTCTCAATTTTTCTTGTGTTATTTTTTTTTCGGAACAATTTTTGGAATATATTTTAGTTGGTACATACTAATATTGATGAATCATTTAGATTTATAGTTCCAAGTAGACTTATATACTTGTTTCAACTATGTAAAAGTATCGGAAATAAAATCGTAAATACATTTATGAAAAAAATTCAAGAAGGCATATTTCACTATTAATGTAGGGAGAATCGAATAAATTTTCAAATGAAAAAAGTATTAGATTTTCATTACCTGACAGTTTAGTATAGAACAATAAAGAAAATGTGAATTTTTTTTCTGAAACGCTGTACTTCATTCTTTATATTTTTCACATATTCTCAATTTTTTTCTGTTATTTTTTTCGGGCTGATCACAACTTAGAAATAGGGAAGGTTACTTTCCGGATATTGTGTGACATCTGCTGTCAGAGGTAGAAAATAATAATCATCTGCTCACCTTCAAGTCAATATCTTTTACTGGTTTTCCTATGGTACTATGGTTGTCCTCAAATTCTTTATCTCCTGTAATAGTTATGAAACCGCCCGCTTCTGTGGTGCCGTACGCTACTGCGACTAAGGAGTATTTGAACAATTTTTTTGTTCTGATCAATTGCGTCGGACTGACCGAAGATCCAGCAATGACGAGAATGCGCAATGAAGAAGTGTCGTATTTTTCAGAATTCTTTACATTTGTGAGATTGAATGTGTATAATGGTGGCATGAAAATGAACGTTATCTGAAAAAAAAATGGAAATTATCAAAATCGTGGATATTCTTTCTTCAAAAATTATTAGTTTCCCCACTTGAACTGATAAATATTATGCAGTGTTAGCGACAATGACAAGTAAAATTTATTCACTAGTTTCATCACTCCAATATGTCAACCATAGATAAAAATCAAGATAAAAATTCAGTATTTTATTCACAGATGTGCTGAGGTAATTCGTCACGTTACATCGTTCACGAGATAGGCTGTTACTAGTCAACAATCTACTAGTCAACAATCTATCTATTAGACGTAGGTTTCATGCATGCAGTCGAGTCGCGTTGAAACAAATCGAGTCCCGGACACTTTGCTGTTTGGTCCGGATCTTTTTTGCACTAACGAGAGGTAATACCTTGAAACCGGTCTGTGGGTCTGTATTCAGCGTGATATTAGCCAGAAAAGTAGTTGTTTTCCGACAGGAATTGACCAGAACCTACGGTGTAGGTATTTGGGAGAGATTCCGATTTTGCACCATCTATCAACATGGGTAGAAAGTTGGGTTAATTCCTCGCGTCAAGATTTTTTTGGCAAAACAAAAGCGAATCGGGTCAAACACCAGGGTTTCTATGTATCTTCAGTCAAAAATAATCAGTCGAATAAACTGTTCTACTGAATACTTAAAAGAAAATGTAGTCATAGAATGAAAAATGTTTTCAACTTCGCCAGAAGTTAATGAAGCTGCTGAAATTACACAATTTGAAGTTATTGCCAAAATGATAAAACAATTGTATGTGGCAGCACATGAATCTATCTTGAATCATAAGAGGAACAAAAACATAAAATCGTAATGCAATCGGTTATGTCTGGTGTATATACTATATGCTGTTCAACCGTCCTTCTACATATTGCGAATGATATAATGAAAGCAATAAATGAAAACAAATGTACGGTGTTACTCCTACTAGATTTCAGCCGGGCGTTTGACACTATTAATCACAATCTTTTTTGAGCATTTTGGACTATAATGGTTTTTCTGCCAATGCTCTTGCATTATTGACGGACTATTTGAAAAATAGACAGCAACTGGTTGGTATAGGGGAATACAACTCAGATATCTTATATCTTAAATTAGAGGTACCTCAAGGATTCATACCCGGCCTTTTATTGTTCTCTATATATACACCCATTTTACTACAAGATCTTCACACTTGTCAGGTGCATATAATATGCTGATGATACTCAAGTACACCACAGCTTTCCAGCAGTGCAGATATAAATAGATGTGTTGAATTGGCAACGGACCACTGTTTATTTATAAACCCTAGTAAATCTAATGTAATGATTATGGTTCAAGCTTTCATCGTTCCATAGTGAATAACTCTATGAATATCTGCATTCGAAATGAGCCACTAGATATTGTTAGTGAAGCAAAATGTCTTGGTGTTTTGATGGATGTAGATCTGAGATTTGAAAAATTTGTAAATAAACTCTTACGATGTGCCTACTCTGCACTGGAAATCATTTATAGAAACCGACATATTCTGCCTTATTGTGTGAAAAAGTCCTTATGTGAATCTTTGGTGCTTTAAGTTTTCAATTTGGCGGATGTTCTTTATCTTTATGGCCCATGTTTAACTAATCAATACAAAAATAAGATTCAAACAGTTCAAATTCAAAACTCATGCCTTAGGTTAATTTTCAGTATTGGTTGGCGGCACAGGATCTCATATAAGCTGAACATGGAGAAAAGAAGGTTACTTCACGCTGTCTGTTTTTCCATAAAATAATTGTAACAAAAAACCGTCACACCTTCTTAGGAAAATCACATATCGTACGGACATCCATAACCTGAATATTCGATATGATTCTGTCCATAACCTTCTCAAAAAATTTAATTTCCCAAAGTTTAAAAGTAAATATGAAAACTATTTGTTACACTGAAATTAAATCAAATTATTGATATCTTGTAAGAAATAGGTGAAGTAAACTCTTTATGTAAGGTGTTTATTCGTATTTACATTATAATATGTAATGTATATATAACAATCACAGTTTTAATTTTGTTTTTCATTTTAAGTGGAAGAACATTTTCCGTGATGTATTTCATTACAGACGATGAACTTCGCCCTTTATTTCAATTGTTAGTTGAATATATAAGTTATGTTGTGTTTTTTGTTTTGGTTATGAAATAATAAAGGCAATATTATTCTACTACTACTTTCTCTGGAGTAAATATTAATAAAGCGTCAGACGACAAGGACCTTGAAACAAAGGTAACATGTTGATTATGGGTATTCTCCATTTGTTAGGTACAATTAGCTATTAATTTTTTCAAGGTTGAACTAATAATGGAAATAACGGATGCTTATCGGGCTTATCAAATCTATTATATGATGATTAGGGATTTATGAGCCCTTGTATCAGCTTTTCCAGTTAATGTGCCCAAGACCAAGACAAAATTTCTTTAAAATTCACAATAACTTATAATTTCAATCAAATATGTGAAATAAACATTACTTGAAGTCCAACTTATGTTGCAAATTATTTTTCCTGTTTTTAATCAAACTATCAGAACGGTAAATGCACTGCCCAAAGAATTGGTATCAATAAATTGATGAAAATATTGAAAATTTCATATGCTCTTTCAGAAATACTAAATTCTGAAAAGCAATCCGTAAGTAATATGTCTAGTTCTTACCTTATGCTCTTCAATTTTTCTTAGGAGCTCTTCAGCGTCAAATTTTGGTAGAATAAGTCTAGCACCGCCATAGTGAAATGTTGACATTAACACCAAAATGGCTGATATCCAATAAAATGTTGCATAGTTGAGACTGACTGCTGGTTGACGAATGAAATAGCTAAAAATAAAAAAATAGTAATTATGATAATATAGTTTTCATCTTTCAACTGCGGTAGAAATGATTAGAAAGGAGAGTACATTGTTCGATCTGAAATTATTTCATGATTTAACTTTTTCTCATAAAGTGTTAGGAAGACAAATTATACTACTAGGCGACTAATAGTCATCTCGTGATGAGTCTAACTTGGTTAGCGAAACGCTTGCGTGTTCTACTGTGGAAATGTTCACAAAAGATTCATTTTACGCTACAGGTTTCAATTCTACCTGTTGAGCTAGGCAAATAACATCCCAATGGACGACGGTATGAACGGATAATGAATACAGCATAAAAAATTAATTTTGTTTTCTTGCTTAACAAAGAAAACAGAGCCATACTCTCCACTTTTAACTTAACCCTTTCAGGTAGTGTTACTCAGAAGTGGAGCCAGTTTCTGAAACACACTATTATTTTTACTCATGTCAAAATATTTTTCATAACTCAGAAGTTTTCTTAGAAAGATTATATCTAGTCATATCTATATAATACTAATTCTGTAGTAATTCAATCATAACATTTTTGTTTATATCAATAGTTTGCCCCAATGAAAAAAGATGAGATATTGTATCAGTTGATAAAATGTTCAAGATCATCATCTTCAAGAAATACTATAGGATGATCAACTGAACAATCGGAAATAAGTCTGTGATGTCATGGATCTATTCTGGAATTTTATCAATGAAAAAAGTTTTTCTTCATGAATATGAATTTTCTCTTCAACGAATTGAAAAGTGAACAACACATCATGAAAATCTGAATTCAATATGAAATCAAGACAGTCGAAACTTACAGAGCATTTTTCATTTCATTTATAATGCTGAAATGTGAAAGACATATGCCTTTTGGTAACCCTGTTGTGCCGCTACTGAATATGATTAGAGCTGTTGAATGACAGTTATTGATTGTTATCGGTTTGAATTTTTGTTCTTCCGGTAGAGGTATCTGCAAATCTGCAAATGTTTTGAATTTTTTTGATTTCCCAACAACGATCAATTCAGGTTTTTCTTGTAGAGATTCAACAACCATCGCCATTTCTTCGGAAACGTCCTCGTCAACAAAAATCAGTTTGGGTTTCAGGATTTTTGCACAATGGGTCCACTCCCTCTTGGATTGTGTAGGATCCACAGCTGACATTATGGCTCCCAAACACAACGTCCCTATGTGTGGAATCACGCTATTCATGGAGTTTTTCATGCAGCTTATAATGATATCCCCAGGAACTATTCCTAAACGTTCCATGTGCAACGCTAAACGTGCTGATCTTTTTTTGACATTAGAATAAGTTTCCTGCTGTCCCGTTAGTCCATCAATCTGTAACAAACGTATATTTTCATCGTTCAGGAATCAAAAACGTACAAACAAATTTATGTTTTCTCTGAAATGAGAATAAATGAAAGACTAAAGTATCGAGTCTGATGAATTTACTAGTTAATACCATATAAAACCCCCACGTAAAAATAATTAGTATATCATAATAATTATTCTAGTTCTAAACTCCAGACATCACCAGAAAATGGCAAATGAGACTTTGCCGAAACGTTGTGGAAAAATCCTTGTAAGGATCAAAAGTACAGAACATGGAGCGAAACCCGGAAAAACAACCCATCATACTTTGTCCGTGAGAATCTTCGAGTTTACACGTGGATGGTGCCTTTGTTATATGGTCCCATGGATCCAAATGTCGTCATGCATGCCTGAATGATATGAAATCCTTTTACCCGGACCTAAAAACGCTTTTTGTTGTATTCTTCGTTTGGTTCTGAATCCATTGAGATGATTTATTTTCATAAGTAACAGGATCAAAATCAGAAATCAGACGGTGAACATCGAATGGAACGAGACGAGAATGATTGGCAATAAACCCCACTCTAAGAATCGTAAACTCAAAGAATCAGCTTATATGTTTTTGTCTAGAGAAAAGTCTATGTCTAACAGCTCCTTAGGAATGACTCGTACTTGGCTACCCGTCTTGAAGAGATTTATGGTTAGTGTCAAAATAGCAAAAGAATAATATCCATATACAAATATGGAATGTTCAACAACATTGACATATTTCACATTTCAATACTTCTTTGACATTTGCAGAGGAAGTGAAGTGAATCAGTGTAGGAAAACTGCTAATATATTCGGAATTATTTAAAGTCTGAAGACGAAGGTAGAGTTTAGCCTACGAAACGGTGAGATAAGTATCTGTATCTGTATTTACGTAGTAGGCAACTTATCGATTAATCAAAAAGTTTAACCTTTCTACCTGGGTATATAGTTCTCCATCAAAATTGTCATATCTTTCAGGTGAAAGGTGAAAACTCCCGAAGAAGGACGATAAAATTGTATGTATTTTCTGATAATGCTTACTTGGTTAGCACAACGTGAAGAACTTGTTTTCGAGAAACCGGTCAAAGATTCCACTGGAGTATCAGATAATTCGCTCAATTCAACTGCCAAATACTGCCAAAAAATCAAACCCTGTTGAATATAAGATCTTCGTGTTACCAGTACCCTACCTACTTTGTCAAAAATATTAGAAAGCGCGATGGAGAGGCAGTTAACAGAACATCTTCAGGAATCCAAAGTACTGCCACCTATTCAATCGGGGCTCAGAAAAGGATACAGTTGCACAATCGCTCTCCTGCACGTTGTTGATGATATCATAAGAGCAACCGACCAAGGACAGTATACTATACTCATTTTGTTGGATTTCAGTAGGGGGTTTGATACCTTTAATCACACACTTTTACTTGGTATTCTGAGATATATAGGGCTTTCAGGTACAGCTATTCGCTTATTAGAAAATTGTTTTAGAAATAGATTCCAGAGAGTCTCTATTGACAACATAGAGTCTAACTATCTTCCACTCATGTCTGGAGTACCACAAGGCTCAATATCAGGTCCTGTGCTGTTTGCTCTTTACTCCGGCAATCTTCTTAGAAGTATTCAGAAAAATTCCCAACTTTTCGCTGTTTATTCGACTTGGAAAAGTTGGGAAATTTCAGGCCGTGAAGATAGAAAAAATAATAGTAGAAACAATATGCACAATATCATTTAATTGTTTCCTTTCATTTGTATTGAATATTCCTATACATGTATTCCTATACATGGTGGATATGGTGGAAGACCAAGGACCTTAGTCCAAAGTAGAATAATTCCCAAAACTAATATATTATAGTAGTAACTAATCCCTCGGCTTTCATTTTTTTCGAAAGTTGGGAAATTTTGCTGGTGGGGTTGGGATATTTCCCCCCCTGATATTTCTTTTCGCTACGGCCCTGCTTGTATATGTCATTTCTGTTTTCCTAAGTATATACCAATTGCTTGAAATGGACCATTATAAGTCAATTCAAAAACTAGTATGACGTTTGTGTTTCTAAAACATAACCTTGAAAAGCTATATATGTATTTCATATCAGCAAAATAGAAATTTCTAATCAGTTTTCGCGCAATCATTATCGTGAACTATGAGAACATATTTAATCAATTGTATCGTTCGATGAACTAATTCATTCAGAACAATTCTATCTCAGGAGAAAAACAAGTTATTTTTAAAAATAGAAGTAATACTTTGAGGGATCTTTTATGAATTTGTTCACATTCAACAAATATAGGTATCTTGAATGTATGAAAGACAGTTTTATGTACCAGAACAAAGAACTGAAAAGAATATGTAAAACTCAAATTTAAATATGGGCAATCATGATCAATCGACAACTAGAGATCACTTCATTTTTCACTTCATTTTTGAAATAATAATTTGTTACAATATTTTTATTTTAATTAAAACGAACGTAAAATATTCCTTTCTGATGATTTGAATACATTGTAGACTTTTCATTGCTCAAACGGAATAATTTGTTACAATATTTTTATTTTAATTAAAACGAACGTAAAATATCCCTTTCTGATGATTTGAATACATTGTAGACTTTTCATTGCTCAAACGGAATTATGGGATGTAAGAAACATTTATGATGTACAAACTTTTACCGAATATTCCAAGCTCCAAATGAAATCATATACCAGATTCCAAAATAAACGTCTTGAATACATAATTCATGAATCGGCTCTCGAGAAATCAAAGTTATTGTAATTTCTGCATTATATAAATGATGTCATCATTCATTGGATAATATCAAAAATAAACGAGGCTCCCTAAGGCGGCGACTTGCAAAGTCAAGCTACATCGACTGCCGAATGAGATTCGTCCTCTGTCTTTCACTGCAAAGCAACTGAATGAACTCATGATACAACACCAGACATCGTGGTTTCGACCCGATAAAGTCTCATCAGTTAATCCCTAAGGCGCTCTACGAGCAGTGCCTGTGCGAAAGTAACGATTCACGTTGGATTTGAATCGCTGGAGAATAAATTCATTCTGAAAAACGTTGTCAGCAAGCTTATTCCACATAAACGCAGATCTCCTTATGGAAGAGTGCTTGAACAGTGAAGTTCGAGGTGTACTGAAATGAACCCCAAAACGCTGAGCAGCCACACTCCTTCGCGTATTTCTGATATGTATCGCTCTTGGTGGAATCAAATGTGCCAAGTCACTTGAACACCCCCCAAGGGAGAAAGTATCTATAAAAGAGAGACAAATCCCCAACCTTTCTTCGATGATCTAGACCATCAACCGTGTGTACAGTTTTCTGGTTCGGAACAGTGTTCCAAGTTTTAGAGAAACAGCCTTTGCAATTCCAGCGACATGATTGTGCCAAAACTTATTGGTGTCCATTTTAACCCCCAACAAACGTATGAAACTGTCCTGGCATTATTATATCCGGTTCGGAGACATATATCACTTTGGAGGAAACCGATGCCTGGGTTTCCGTGACATTGAATTGAACCTGGTTATTTTCACTGCAATTCGAAATCACCTGTATGGAATGGAATGACGGAAGAAGTGTGCTGTCGTCAACAAAGCAATATATTGGATTCCTATCTTTTTTAATAAGTCGTTGATAAACGATAAAAAACTTTTCTGAAGAGGTAAAATACCTTGGTACTATCCTCGACAGGAAGCTAACATGGAACTCTCATCTACAGAGTAGAGTAAAAAGAGCATACGTGGCTTATGAGCAATGTCGGAGGACAGTGGGACGCGCATGGGGTCTTCCACCCCGTGTGGTCACCTGGATCTATACTGCAATAATAAGACCTATGTTAAGGTATGGAGCCATTGCATGGGGAACGAAAGTTCTACAAGCAACGGCCATTCAAAGATTATACCAAATACAGCGAATGGCTTGTTTAAAGATCACAGGAGCCATGAGAACAACACCAACCGCGGCAATGGAATTAATCACGGGTCTGACCCCTCTTGATCTGTACGTTGAGGAGGTTGCGTTGATGGCCATGGTACGATTGCGCGCGGTTGGTGTAAACCTCGAAGCAGGAATGGGTCAACTGTATCGCTGTAGGCAACATGCGATACAATTGAACCCGGGTTTGTGTTCAATAAACCCTATGAAATACAAATAAAGCAGAACATAGAGGCAGATGATACAAATGCAATACGAATTTACACAGACGGCTCAAAAACCAAAGAAGGCTAAGAGTGTGGAGTGTACTCCAAATCACTAAGCCTATGAATTGAGTGGGGAATGGGAAGAAATACCAGCGTAGTTCAAACAGAACTGGCTGGTATCTCAATCGCCACAAAAGAATTAACCAAGAAAAGAATTTCTGGCAAAAACAGAATCAGAACGACATAGCAAAAGTGCTGCTCAATCAGGAATGAGCACTAGCATGTTCAACTCGCCATTCCCCCATCATCCCCACCCCCACCACACTGAAATTATGAATGCGAATGAACACGTAGCTCGCCAGACAGTCGTTACTAAGACTTCAAGTTTCAACTTTCATCCTTGCAGCCCAGATTTTGTTCTCGTGACTTCGACCATGAAAGCTTATGTTCTTAAATTGTATGAAGTGTGTTTAGGCCTGCAACAGAGGCGTTGGAATACCCCTGATGGGATATTCTGACGCCTCTGTTGCCATCGAATAGGAAATTACCATTTCCCATTGCTCGTTCACTTATAATTTCACAAATAACATGCGACGATCAAGTCGTCTTCATTCATAGCAGACAAGACCTATTAGCCTTGAATAGACAACGTATAACCTCAGGGCTAGTACTAGAGTGTCACCAAGATTTAGCCAAAGCCTCGGTAGTTGATAACATTATCCTGAGGTGGGTTAAAGGGCACGACAGGAGTAACGGTAATCGCATTGCCGACTTTTTAGCCAAGGAAGCGGCTGGACTGAGAATTTTAGGACCTACAGCCTGATGACTTCGACAATTGCGGAACTAGTCAAGTGTTACACCCATGCTCAATCCTTAAACAGATGGAACGAAACCAAAGGATGTAATCTTGCCAGGATCACCTTGGGTGACCCTGGGTGACCAGGAAAAATCTACGCCTAACAGTAGGATTTCTGACTGGTCACTGTCAACTAAGGAAACACCTCCATAATATGGAGCTGGTGGACACACCTCTATGCAGGATGTGTGAACAGGAAGATGAGACTGTCAGGCATGTCCTGTGCGAGTGCCCGGAGTTATCGTCAATAAGAGAGTGTGTGTTCGGCGAGTTTTGGCCTACACCTGCCGATATAAAGGAGATGTCTCCCAGAGACCTATCTACCTTCCTGAAAAGGACAGGATGGACGATGATCTAGGAGGACAACTCCTCGTGAGGATGTACAATAGGTCACATGTGGCCTAAATACTGTGGGCTTACACTCACCCTCCTTACTCTACAGATACAAAGATAAAGATATATGATAAAAAGAGGGTTGGAGATAATATGGATCCCTGAAGAACACCAGCGTTGGTGGTAAAAGTATTCGAGAGATATCAATCAACGGCCACTTGCAGGACAAGTTCTTTTAGGAAACTGTAGAGCCATACACAAAAATGATTCGACAAGCCATAGCATCGAAGTTTGGCTAACAAACCTATATCTTCTCTGTATAGGACTACATACCATTTAGTCCTACCTGAGAATTGGAGATCGTCTCATATCGGCCATTCATGGCTGACACTATGTTCAAATTCAGGGTCTTTTTGTTCGTTATTTTCAGTTAATGATAAAAGATGGTATTGAATGTCAAATATCGATAGTCACTCTGTTGGTGTTAGTGATGAATTTAAGGGGTTACAAGAGCAAATGAATATTTCAACAAAAAACTTATCCGAAGCATACAGGTCAGGTGGAATTAGGAATATTTCATGCTGGAACGACTAGAACAAAAAATGTATCAATATTCATATCTTGTATACTTCAGTACCTTTCACCAGTGTAACTTGGTTCGAAAGCTCATCTACTCTTCACACTCCTTTGAGGAAAAAATAAGTAAAAATTAGTGTTGCATATCGGAGATAATTCATCTTGATTCGTACTCAACCAACCACACACATTTTCTGGCTTTATAGGTGAACGTTGAATGACCTCAACTGGCAAAATGAATCCAATAAAACACTTTTCCCACATTGTTTAAAATCTGTTTAGAATATGTGTTTCCGTTAATCAGCTGTCGCCCCCATACAAACGACAACTCCCAGAAGTTGAGAAACTTGTGCGAGCTAAGGACTAACGAGGTCTCACCTTTTAACGTGTGATTCCTAACACGGTTGCAGAATCATCCCAGCTTCAACTAGATAAATTCTCTCTAGGAAAATATATGGTCGAAGTGGGAATCGAACTACCACCACTACCACCCACTAGAACCACATATTTCTCCAAACATTTCTTCTGAAGATTTGGCGGATAGAAATTCTATCATTTTTACGTCGCAACCTAACAACACTACGTTATCAGATTCAATATCTACTTTTAGTGTCTAGCCAAAGAATGACTATATTCATGTTCAATTCACGGACCTTTAATTGAGAACTCAGATGTATTTCTGATGTGTTCTTTTCAGTCCTCATGTAACGGTGTATCGGCTTTTTATTTCGACCGATATGGTCGACATAAATATTGGTGTCTGTCGACTCCTAGTGAGGAAGCTAATGCATCGTGAAATACGGGAAGTAGGTACTTATTTGGCATCCTACTCATATGACACACCCGCTTATAGCGTACCATATAAGTCACTCATCGGGTCCAAGAATATAACCAACTCGCTAACACGCCAACTACAAGCTACATCTGTCAAATTAGTTGCCATTTAATCAGTCTATTTTGCGAAGTCACCATGGAGGGATTAAGCATTCAACAACACGTGCAAATAATTATATTGTTTCATCTGTTCTGTTCGGAAAACGTACTGTGCGCTTTGCCCATTTTACAGTTCCGATAACCGTCCTACAGAGTTCAGTGAATGATCGATCACGACCACATCAGCAAATCAAAAGATCTGCCGAAATCAGCGCCGCTGTCTGTGAGAGCGTGCAAGAGATTCTAGGAGGTCGACTTCGCGACGCTCACAAAAACTCGGCCTTTCGCAGACCACAACTTGGTTAAACTGTGCGTAGTGACATGGGCTTTCCATGAAAAATTCAACTGTCCCAAGAACTGAAGGTAAACGACCATAGACAACGACGTTTGTTTGCTGAATGAGCTCTGAAGCAGTTGGCAACTGACCCTAACTTCCATAGAAAAACCTTCTTCAGCGATGAGGTCCATTTCTGGATGAATCGATACGTGAAGAAACGAAATTGTCGAATTCGGGACGATACCAACCCACATGATGTCCAAGAGCGTTTAATGCATCCCGAAAAAGTGGCTGTTTGGTATGGATTTTGGGCTGGCGGCATCGTCGGTCCATATTTCTTTGAAAACAACGTTGGTCAGGCCATCACTGTTATGGCGAGCACTATAGGTCGATGACTACCAACTCCTTTTGTCCTGTATTGGCGAAAAAATATATGGAACGGAAATAATTCAGAATTTTCCAAGAAACATAAATGAAGGCTGCCGTATTTCAGCATAACTTGTAATTATTACCAATTTCTCCTAATAAACTTCCAATGATTATCAATTCTTGAATGAATTCAATATTTTTTACACTGACTTTCCATTGTTTGATTATTGACAGTATTCAAGTTTAGATGATGCATATATAATGGACCGCACGGTATATCATTGTGGAACCTCAAACTTGAACTTCACGGTCCAGTACATAATGAAAACTCACCTGGCAAGCTTTATCACTGAACTTGTCTGCTTGTTCGAAGAAAAACTCTCCGAATCCTCGGAAATCTTTTTCAAAGGAACTGCGTCCACCCGATATTACCTCACTGTTCATTGTTAATAACAAATGAAACTTATCACTCGGGTGTCTGCTTTTATGTGACTCCTTCTAACCACTATCTCCACGAACACGTGCGAATCCGTCCTGATAGAGTAGTTCACACCATTTGGAGTACTGCGAATTATTGGGAAAGCCACATGACTAACAATCGTTGGAAATCTAAAACTTCAATAAATTGTAAACATAAACAATGTATGTGAACAGAAAATTACGTAGTTTTTGACAACTGGGAGTTTTTCATTTCTAAAAATACTTCAGGATGTTGTCCTCGAAATTACGTTCAAAAATATGGATTTACGTTGTTACTTTGTACACGAAATAAAATGAAACTGATTAAATTTCATCTACTTGTAATGCACAGTTTGGAACCTTTGGTGTGGTAATAAATATTACTCGAGTTCTATCCTAACACCAAACCGTTATTTTCAAAAGGATTTGGAAAGGATTTGGAAAAGCTGAATACACTTATTTGAATTAATGAATCGAAGAGGTTTTGTATTAAAGTGTATAATATTTTAAAATTCTTGCAAAGCGCTTTCGACTTTCGTCATCATCAGTGCTCACCTGAAAGTAAGTGATCTAGTTGAAAAGGGGAATTTAGTGAAATTGAAGTTGTAAAATTTTTTTTTTTTAAAATTCTTGCAAAGCGCTTTCGACTTTCGTCATCATCAGTGCTCACTTGAAAGTAAGTGATCTAGTTGAAAAGGGGAATTTAGTGAAATTGAAGTTGTAAAATTTGTTTTTAAGGTTAAGAAATTTGGAAAAATTGTTTGAGATTACTTACTTCTCAGGCAACAGGAAGTATCATGATAAGTGAATTGTACATTGTAATATTTGAATTATATAAAACAAAATAGGCTTATAGCCAAGAAAATACATTTTTTGATTGAGGCCATGTGGTTCAGTCAAAGTATCTTATGAAGAAGGACAACTTGAGACAGAATGTGTCAAGTGTCATGTTAAAATAATGGTACCAACTTGAGGAGTGATCCATTAAGGGTTTGCTTAAATATGTAGAGGAAAAATATTGTTATTTTTAACACATTGACACGGGTTTCAATCACCGGAATCGGAAAATAGCAATGTTCATTTTTCTTATCAATATACGGCTAATCGATCCCAAAGTTCAGATAAAATAAATATAGTTCAAAAAAAAAAACAAAAATCACGCTTGTATAGCATACGAAACTAAAAAATGAAAAATTAATATAGTTTAAAACACTAAAAAAACACGCTAATAAAGAACATCGAACTGAAAAGTTGATAATATTTTTTTTAAATTAGCTTAAATCAATAACGAAAGAAAAATACTAGTATTATTTTTCAATTTTTTTCATTGTTTTTAATAAACAAAAATTCATTTTGTTCATTGTTCTTGAACTTAAATTCATTTTGTTCATTAAAGTTCAAGAAAGAACTAAAGAATTGGCTCAGAAATTCTGATTGAACTCTGTTTTATCAAATAATTAATCAGCACACTTACTAAAAAAAATCAATTGTTATGCTAATCTTACCAAAATACAATATGACTTTCATAAGTAAGAATAAAACCCACTGTAGAATGAACTCGATCAAACCACACACAAATTCGGTTTTAGTGGGTTTCTCCATGTTTGTTTATATTGCCTTGTGCTGTTGTATATTTATAAATAAACATTATTATTATCCTGAAAAAAAAAGTAATTAATTTCTATCCCATCATGTCCTTATGTGTTTCATATTATGTGTATAGTTCATTATGCTAATTTCTTTTTAACATTTTATATCTATTCATTGTATCGAATTCAATTCATTATGCTGATTTATAGTTATCAGTTTATATCTATCCATTGTATAGAATACTCTTACATACTTTTTTTCAGTTTAGTTATAGTTTAGAATTTGTCAAAAACACTCACAAAGAACATTTTTTCGAAAATATTGCTTATGAGATGCCTACGTTTATTTGCCCAATATCTGTTATATACATACATGTGATCAATGTGGTGAATATACATTATTATTATTATTATTATAAGAAAGAGAATGGAGAGTGTCATTTGCTACTCAATTCATAGATTGAGTTATTCCTGTTATTTCTGCCAATAAAAACGCATATCATAATTTTTGTCATAAACAAAACAGTTAATTAAAATCTTTACAATAACAGCTTCAAAAAAACACTTCAATATGGTAAACTACCTCCATACATTTGTTTTCCATTAGAAAAAAATCAACTGATTGGTTCGTTATTGAACCAATGATGTAAATGAGGTCTCAAGAAAATGTATTCCAACCTTTGAATAGTCCCTAGCTGCCCACTTGTAAATTCCTTCAAAGAGAATAGACATGTACCAAAATAGGATTCATGATGCTGAAGAGGTCATTTCTGAAAAGGAAATTATTCAATCAGGGGTAACAAATCTGGTGAAGGTTGGGGGCACTCGGTGTTCCCCCTTCTTACAGCGTGAAAAACAATGAATTAATTAATTTCATCCCGGATTTATTCGGAATAACTTTCTAGTTATTCAACTATGTTGGTTAATATTTTTTTGAGAGATTCGTTTGATTACCGATTCTACTGAAAATTCAGTTTTGCTGCTACTCTGAGCTTTTTATTCCTCAATAATTCAGTGGTTATCAGAATCTTCGTATTTTTCCTCTCCTGTTTTTGATTCTCCCGATTTTTGTTAATTATTTTTCCAATTGTTCCGAAACAGTTGTTTTCTGGTGATTTCAGTTGTTGTATCACAATTTGTTGTTCGTTCTTCATTGTTTTCAAGAACTTAGTGATATATAAGGACGCCACCATCTCGTCTTGATCATTTTCTCATCCTTTCATAATACACCACCACTGAATCATTTTGATTTTTTCCTCGGTATCAGCCCTTCTTCCACCTCTATCACGAATATTAGATCTATGTAGATTCTGAATATTTAGGTTAATCAAGTTTAACAACATAATTTTCCATACAAATCACAATTTCGATTACTTCACACCCATTTCACCCATTTTCTATCGCTGGTAACCACTTCGATTGTCTTGAACCCTCTCTGTTCTTGTGAAATTGTGAAGAAGTTTTTTGTACAGAATACAAGCATCACAATCAGTGATTTCGTGAAGTTATTTTATTTTATCATGAGTTTCATGTTGAAAAAATATTGAATTCGAAACATGTATCTTCAGTAACATTGCTACAAATATTTTATAATTACTCGATTATGATTTTTTCAAAGCCCAGTATAACATATTTTGACCACAAATAACCATATGGCATTGACCTTTGGATTATCCGAAACAGCAACAATACTTACTGGAGAATTATTCGTCATCCTTCACGCTCTCCACTAAACCAAGTCAAGTGTCTCAGATACTGCCTTACAACTCCTTCGAAGGATGTATACTAAACACCCAATAGGCATACTAATTAAACAACAATTTTTCGAAATCCAAACGCTCAACAAGAAACTCATCCTGCTTTGGGTCCCGTCACATGTGGGAACTTCGAGTAGGACACACCACTAATACCTGATATCTCTAGCATCTAGCAGATCAGCCACAGTGCATAATTTGTAAAGTTGTACTAACAGTACAACATATCATAATGCAGTGTCCAGGAAACACAGCTATTTCAAAACTAGCAAGATTATAAATTATCTAAGTGCTCAGAATATTACAGGAGTTTTTTTCCCAACACCAAACCATTATTTTAACACCTCGACACGTGTTCCGATCACCAAGTGATCATCTTCAAGAGGAAGATCAAACTAATCATACTTACTAAGCTATCCTCATTTCTTCCCCAGATACCTGTTCTAGGTACAGGCGTCTTGAGTGTCTTAAATTAATTTTACAATGTGTCCTTATGTAATAGTAAGGTAAATCTGATAATTAAAATATCTACTTGTCTTGAATTAATTTCTCAAGTGCTATGAACTTGTCCAACAAAATATGATTTTGTAATCAATATAGTTAATGCTAATAAATATCCGCCGCTAATAACAATAAGGTTGATGTGGTTATTTACAAATCAAAAATAGTGATTATTGAAACACGTTTTCGATATCCGAATTAGATATATTTCAGGTGAATCGATGAGGTTAGATTGAATCGTATATAAACGTTATCGAAAGTACTCTATTTTTGTGAAGTTTGTAAAAATGCGAAACGAAATTTCAGGATTAGTGTCGAAATTTCGATATCAAAAAATTCTAATGCTTGATAATTTGAGTTTTCCATATTTTTGCTACTCACCGTATATATACAACTTTGAAAAGTATTTTTAAATTTGTTTTATGGAAATCATACAACAATAGTGAATGTTTGAAATAAATTCTACATTTTTCACTTTTTAACCGACTCGATCATGTACGCCTATGGAACAGCTACTTCAAAATGACTCATTATTCCGCAGCGTAAGGAAACAGATTACAAAGGAGATATCTTTCATTTTTGTAGACAACGTAAAGCATAGTTTGTTGCTATTTGTGAAGCGGCCAGAGTATTCGTATTTCTTCAGGAAATATCAAAAGAAATTTTTCAAAAATTCAATCCATGACGCAAAAAGTCCACATATTTTCTTGGTTTGTTTCTTGGAATTACGATTTCAAAACTCGAAATTTCGACTACTCGAAGCTCATTTCACCAAACAATCTGGCGTCTTCAGGAGATGTTCATTTCATCACCTGATAACGTCATTTCAGTTGATGAAACGGGCGTTGAGAAGAATGTTGCAGTTCTGGTATTTGGGAACAATATTTGTTTTGGATTTTCTTAATTTGCAAAAACATCATTCAGAGTATCGATCCAGTAGTAGTCTACACAAACAGGGTAGTCAATTGGCGTTTTTAGACTTAGACGTAGAAGGAAAGGGATCTGCTTCAGAAAATCAATTAATTATGACTTTGAAGTTGGAATTTGGCAAAATTTTTCCAGTTCAAAGTCTAAATTCATTTGAATTTCCCATATTGTGACGTCGATCTCTAATTATCATTCAATTTTGACTAAGATCTTACAATCATGCTTAATTTCGATTCAAAATTCGAAATTCAATTATACTCGTAGTTCCTACTCCAGATAACGTATTTTAATAAACTCGGTTTTTTACTCGAAATT